CGTTTGAATCATCAGTGGCAAATTCTTTAAATATGTAAATGTACTTACAGACTGTGAGTCAGAAGCACCAGACTGTCCTTGCAAAGTTGGAACTGCCCCACTTTATAGAAACAGCCTTTGTGCACAGCCTTCCCAGGATCAAGAGTCCTCTTGATCCTGGGAACATATATATTAGTAGTGCATATTACTAATATATTGGCAACAGTCCTCCATAAAATCTGAATACAGATGCAAACATCTGAATATTTGGGTTGAACTGTTCTGGAACAGTGTTGTAAATACAACTTAACCACTGATTTCTAGTTGTGCCCGTCCCGGCGCACTCTCTCCAGAACTCCCGGGAGCAGAGCGATGGGGGGAAAGGTGTACAGACGAAGCCACGGCCACGTTTGTACCATGGCATCCAGCCCCAGTGGAGCTGGATAAGTCAGAGAGAACCAGAGGGGACAGCGCGATGTCTCTCGAGTCGCGATCAGGTCCACCTGAGCCTGGCCAAAACGGACCACACAAGGATCTGGTGCGCCTGCCTGTAAAGGGGGCACGAACGCAGACCTCCCTGGTGGTTGATATAAGAGACCACCGCTGTGTCGCAGGTGTGCACCGACACATGGCAACCTTTTAGGTCCAGGAGAATGTGTTTCAACTTTGCTAGAAACACGGCCAGGATCTCCAGGCAGTTGCCACGTGAGATGGCGGCCGCTCCACAGACCGCGGGCCGAGCGGCCACTCATGACCGCTCCTTAACTGGTGATGGGCGCGTCCGTTGCTAGCATTACGCGGCGACAAGGAGCTCCCAGCACCAAGCCCTGAGTCAAGAACCAAGGTTTCCTCCACATGTCTAAGGCACGTAGGCACCTCCACGTGACCTTGAGCATGCGAAGCGGGTTTCCCCTCGGGGAGAACTCCTTGGTCTTGAGCCACCACTGTAGGGGTCTCATGTACAGCAGGCCAAGAGGTATCAGGTTAGACGCAGCTGCCATCAGACCCAGAAGTTTCTGAAACTGCTTGACAGTGAGTGACTGGCTTTCTCTCACTCTCTCGACTGCCGTGAGGATCGACTCGATCCGAGCAGGGGACAAACGTGCCTGCATCGTGGTCGAATCCCACACCACGCCCAGATAAGTGGTCCTCTGTAATGGAGAAAGCTCACTTTTCTTGGCGTTTAGTGTTAACCCCAACTCTTTCATGTGAGTGAGAACGACATCTCGATGCCGAACCGCTGTTTGCTCTGAATGAGCTAATATCAACAAATTGTCGATGTAGTTGAGTATGCGGATGCCCTGGAGTCACAAAGGAGCCAG